CCCCCCCCCCCCCACTTCCCAATAAAAAATTCTAGGATGCGCCCTTTTAAACAGAAACGATCGAAATGCGCTTAGCCTGTGAATACAGCCTTCTCTTTTAGCCCCTCGCTGCGGGAGATACGTCTGCGATTACCGCCCCAGCAATATTTATTTATTTATTTATTTATTTCTGTCAGCTTATAGAATATACTGTGGTTAGGCTGAACTCTGAACGTTTGTGTATTACAAAGCCTCCACCTGCTTTTGAGTAAAATACAAAAAAACCTAGTCAGTGTAACTTTATGCAAAACTTTATGCATTTACACCTAATTATTATTCAGTGTTGTTAAAATATTACTAGCCTTCTGAACACTTAGTTCAATAAGCCTTATACCTCTCTAATTGGCCATTTCGGAGTTGTGTAGGGAACTGGGGCGAGTTCAAATTTAAACTATCGATAAACTGACACTACCATAAAAAAGGTCTTGTTGAGATTAGTTATTTGACCAAGTTTGGTCAAATTAATTAATTTTTTTTTTATGATTTCTGTGACATTCCTGAAAATGGGCAAACATAGTCATTTTCGAGTTAGCGCCTTCCAAGTAGTAGATGAATGACGAATTTTACAGTTTAACAGAAAAACTGAAAAATATTTTAAAGAGTTTACATAGTTTGGGGGTACGCTGTCACAACATCACAAACGTTTGTAAGGTCTTTAACCATGTTTCAAGAGTCATAACTTAATTCCTGTTCAACTTTAGAGCACCATGCCAAACTTAGTCAAATAACCAATCTCAACATGACCGTCAGTTTATCGATTAGCTTAAACTCGCCCAAGTCCCCTACGCAACTCCGAAATGGTCAATTACCAGAAACAAACTTTGTTACTTCTGGCTGTATGGAGCCTCTCCTGTTTTAATTTCATGCCTATTCTGGGATAGGTTGATCAGGTATGATCAGACACACTAATAGCTTTTTCCCAGTAATAAATCGAAACTAGGGACGCTACTTTTGTTGTATAATATTAAGTCAAGATATGTTTAGTGGTTAACAGTATTTTCATGATAGAACTTTAGAATGTTAATTCTATAATTTGTAAGAAAATCGACGAGAACACATACAGGTAAAAATAATCATGCAAGGGAGTTTCTTTATCTTTTCTTGCCTCTGTATTATCTAAACTTTAACAAAGCTTATTCAGACTCAAATATCCTTGAGTGATTATGTAGCTGATTCACCAAAAGTCCAATTTTGTTTAAGAGGGAATTCGAAATGGTGGATTTATGGAATCTGTTAGCGTCACCTGGTCGCATTGCGCTAAAAAATCTTGGAAGCATGAAATAATAAAAACTACAAATTCCTGCGGTCACAGTACATTTTATAACACTGACCACTTTTCTTGCTCATGCGAACAGATCGGTGACCCTGAAGCTGAGGGGGGAAATGACGTAACTTGAGGCACTAAAACATCAGAGAATAAAAAATCCGGAAGGTTAGGGAGTGCGGGTGAGATCGCTGTAAACCCTTTTACTCCAATGCAATCACATCCGTCTTTTCGCTCGTTTCGTCGGGGGTGAGGCGAAGAGACGGATGACATTTCAGTCTACTCCAGTGCTGTGTTTTGCTTACGTTTCACGTCGTACAACATCAAAACGCGGGTGATCATATTACGAGTAGCAAAATGATTAGATTTCTTTTTATGTAATCCATTCATTTTTAGTGGAAGTCTAAACGAATGCTGGCTACATGCCTGCCGCACATGCGTAATAGCAACCTTGAGATTAGTATTGCGTGAGTAAAAAGTGTAAATAAATAAACAATATTTGAGTAAGAGATTAACGCATGCTATTTTTATCACGCTCGCCTCATTCTTGGGGAGAGTGGTGATGTGTGAAGGTCATTAGCAAAAGATCCACCTGACACACTATAGAACTCAGTAATGCACAAACTTGTCTGAAAGTAGAGGGTCTGATTTTTGCAATAAAAAAAAAGAAATAAGTGCACGTGATCTCTGTCGATTCCTCAAAAATATAATAACTTTTTTATATAATAAATGTCTAATGTATGTGCTTACTTAAAAGTGATGATAAATCATGCACCGCTTACAAAGTCTTTAAATATAATTTTTACATTGGTTTTGCGAAAAAAAAAAAAAGATTTAAAAGAAAAAGAAAAGGGTCATCTTCTCCACCAACATGGCCTCGTTATTTTGTCACCTGTTTGCAAACCAGAAATCCAATTCAAGCAGTTTACATATGAAACGAGATCCTTTTGTTGTGTGGATATAACAAGTCTCCAGTCTTGAAAGTAAACTACCAAAAAAACGTGACACACACTACGAATTCTGCCATTGTTTCATTGTTTTGTACAAAGTAGCACTTCAGTCTGAGTTACAGCGTGCGTGCTCAGTTTCATGTGTTTCTGTCAGTTCTATTGAAAATTAAGTTAAAAAGAATGCACGTTATTTTCCCACACTCGCAGTAAGACACGATTCCTTTCCGAACTGGGGACAAAAATTGTGCTTTTTGTTTTCGGATGCTTTAGGAACTTTTATTAAGCTGGAAATTGTTCAAAATAAAAAACTTATCCGTTTTTCTATTTCACAGAACGGAGTTTGCTTTAGATCATGTCCTTTGACATTTTCTTCTAAGTGCGAGAATGAGGAAATTTTCCAACCCCTCTTGATGTGACTGAATTCATCTTCTTTTAATTTCTCTTAGTACAAAAATTGACAGCTCTCAAGTTCTCCTCAACCTACACCTCACTTTTAACAGTAATGTCTCTATCCCTACACAATGTAGTAAGACAGCACTGTCTCAGATAAACTTTTTGTTGTTGCTGTTAAAGCCATTGGGTCATTTGCGTCACATATAGCTGACGCAAAGATTATTTGTGATCTACTCGGCCACTGGAAAACAATATCAATATATGCCCTGGTTAAATGTTTCCGCAAAAGCGCCCATATATGTTTATTAAAGCGAGGAGGAACTGAAATATAAAACCTTCGACTCAATATTCAGTTCCAATTATGGTTTCTGCGGCTCCACGAATCTTCAGCAGGAATTCGTAGCTCGCGTGGAAGCATTCATTCTAGCGAGAGGAAGTCTTAACATTTTGTGAAAATCACCACATTCGAAGAGATTTTTAATGATCTGACTGCCTTTGGTAACAGTTAGAATTCTCGTAAACTAGCATGCGCATGGCTACGTTTGTCCCCTATTTGACTGCTCTCTACTGCTTGAGTTTAGTCCATGCTCAGTCACAGTTGTTAATCGAAATCGACAGGGATCCGAGTTTAGCGGTAGAGGACGACCTTAAACTGCCCAGAAATACTGCTGAATGCCCTATTGATGGAAATAATAATGTATCTCCTTCATGTAGTAAATATAACGCTCAGAGACTCGGAGGTTGTTGGTGTAAATGTAACAGACCCGCAGGAGAAAAGTACACTTTCTTTGAACCGACCAATTCTTGCTTGAAGGTCAGCTTGGCTCGTCAGAGATCAGGTAACTTAGTTTCATTTGGTGCGCTTACTTACATTACCTTTTAATTGATGTCTTCTCATTAATTTAAGTTACAAAGTTGGCAAAATATTAACTATCCGATTGTCCCAGGTGACAAACAAATGTCTAAAGGAGGATCGATTTAGCTAGTATTCAATTTGGTGTTGCTAATTAACCAGAACGTATGTTTCGCGGAGTCAATTTCTAGAATCGTGAAATCCGTTAATTAATACAAAGGCAACGATATATATTTCCTTTTGAGTTAACTTGCTAGCTGTATTGTAGAAAATGATTGTGTGGGAATGGATTTTATTGATGGTAGAGCTATTATGTCAAAATTTGGCCCTTGGTCTGTTGCTATCGGTCTGCCAAGCATGCAGCAGTCAAGTGAAATTTAAAATATGTAGATCAAATTTAGGTTTAATTTTTCTATCAAACGCATGACAATCTTCAGTCACCGAGTAGTGTTATTAAAATTCTCTAGGGAGCTTCTTTACCATTTTGTCCGCTAATTTGCTTAAATTACACCATAACATTCTTTAGAAAATACATTGATTGTAAAGGAAAATTAAAATCCTTAATTTTTCATCAGGAAAACGTATTATAGCAATATCTCAATTTTTCTTGAAATGATCAAGGAATACAAAGAACGACAAATTTTGCTTCCTATGTCCCTGTTAAACCCGTGTCACTATCCAAGGACTTTGTTGTTATACAGCTCACACACCAAGGATCGAGAAAAGGTATATCATAACTCTTTTCTCCCTGATCTAAAATATTTCAATATTTGACACTTTTAATTAAAATATACATACTTTAAAAAGTATAACAGTTGATTACCTCGATTACTTTGAAAATTATATATAGACATTTTTTATTTCACTTTTTAAAAACCATTATGACGAAGGAAGTTGCGTGGGCAAGTTTTAGTACTCTTATCGGTTTACTAGGTTCGCGATTTTTAGTTCAATTGATTTAATTATTTTTTTCTAATTAAGATATTGAAGCATTGATGCTGTACAGAAGCTACTTGTCGTAAGCCCTGTGCGGTGAACGAGCTTTTTGCTTTTAAAAGCAAGTTTGCATCTTTGCGCGCAATCTTCATTCCTCGTGTATCATGTACCAAATGAAAGGGCTTAAAACGAAACAACACAAGAAGAAAGTATACCCTTAATTCGTGCAGGCTCTTCAACAACATAATACAAGTGCCCGCCTATAATAACGAGGGCTAAAATGCTTATGTCATTAACTTGTGCACAGAATTTTGTTTCAATCTTAGTGTATAAAAAAGTATGGCGTTCATTATGTTTATGATTATGAGTATGATTATTCTTCATAATTTATTTGTTTTTCTACCAAATCACTCTTTCAATTTGTAATTGAAATCGTTACTTAACATATCATACTGACTGGATTCATTATGTTTATGTATTATACCCACGCGTACCAACTCTTAAACAATATTTTGATGACAGGTAATCAGCGAATACTCAGTCAACATCTCAATATCAGGGTATTTTCTTATTTTAATTTTTTATTTATAAATCAGCGAGTACTAAAATGGAGTCTTTCAATTTATGATTTAACTAGTTATTTCATATATCCTACTGATAAGATTTATTATTTAAAATTTCTTATTTTATTCTTTATTATCGGTATTATCAACACAGGTACCAACTCTTAACGAATATTTTGAGGACAGGCCATCAGTATATACAAGGTCATCATTTTAATATCAGGGAAAGTTCTTATTTTAAACTTTTATTTATAAATCAGTAAGCACCAAAATGGATTCTTTGGTTGTTTACCGTTGGCCAAAATATCAAGTTTGCTTGGAACGTTTAAGGAAGGTCCAATTTGGTCTTTGGAACGGGAAGTTTAATAAAACCAGAGTTTTCCGTAGGAAGGCAGTGGAGTTGGAAGACTCCTTCCTCCTCAATCTATGGATGGTAACCAAGCTCGCAAAAGAGCTAATTAAGAGCTCTGACTCACTGAAAACAACCGCAATTGCTTAAAGGTAGCTGGAGCGATAAAGGGAATGCTACATAGCGATCAATATTAGTTAAGAGTCACTGTATTGTTATGTTTTCTCCTTTGTATGCCGGATTAGAGGCGTATTCCAACGAGTCCAATTCAATTCTATGCTTTCGAACTTTCTTCGGTCTTATATCTGTCTAAACGTACTTTATATCTCAGTAACGCTTTTTGTTTGGCTTAAGTAAAGGTAATAGGATACAGAATTCCAGCACTGAATTAATTCGTTTCCCATCAATCTATAATTGGCGTATTCACTCAATCTTCGCATGTGCAAGGAGATCGGCTCTGAGGCAAGGCGTGATGAGCCTCACAGAATGCTAATTACCTTGGCAGTCCGACTTTGGAGCCTGTTAGTAATGGCGGCTCTCTTACTCACTTTTCACTCACTAGGGTATCGCTTTCTTGCTATTATTGCTGGTTCGTAGGTGAAGCCACAGAGACCATGTTGGTTGTCAAGAACAAAAGCATTTCTCCCCTCTGGGAACTAAACCCATTTTTATTTAAATTCTTCCAAAAGAATTTCACCTTATTGACCACGAACATGGCCGCCTGGTCACGTGTTTGCAAACCAAGAATTGGTTGGTGGAATGTTCTTTAATAGCGTCCCAATTTATTCAAAAACTAAGAACAATAACAACTTTAAATAACAGGGTTGGGAAGCATTGCTTATGCTAATAAATTGAGAAAATGAAGCACACAGATCAAGTGTCCACTTGCGATCAGGATGCAGCCAACCAAACCCACTGTGCTACTGTTAAAAGTTTAAGAATCGTAGAAAATACATATATCTTCCTCATACGTAGTATCACTGAATCATGTGACCATAGTTAATAGACTGGATTGGTTATGAAACCTGTCAGACTAGTCCTTTGTTTTTGTGGACCTCACGGTGCACAACGTTCAATAGCATTCCTAGCATTTTGATCTTAGGGTCTGTTTACATGGAGGTGGGAGACTCAAGGTAGGTGAGGTAACCCGCTTAGGTGGGGTAACCCCCCCCTGTCCATATAATATCTCAAATTAACTCGATCACGTTTACATGATAGGTGGGGTGACCCGCCACATGTTACCTCACCTATCTGGGGTCCCCCACCTCCATGTAAACAGGCCCTAAGTGACAAATAAACGCGTCCCAAAAATTTATTCCGTCACAATTTGCCAATAGAAAACAAAGATTATGCCCTTTCAGGGAGCTTCCAACATAAACTGCGCACCGTTTTGTTGTTTTTGTTGTCTTTCATGACTAGTCTCCTCTAATAACTATGATGCGACATAAGAGGTAGTGAGACTTCTGACGGAATTCCGAATAGACCATTTTACAGTGTTGTGGGCTTAGTACCCTAGCCTCTGAGGTACGTGAGGCTGAGGTTGCCCTTGTTTTGATACAAACCTCCTTCATTTTCTTATAAAAATTATGATAGGAAAAATGTTTGAACAGGAATAACATGATTAAAGGAGGAAGGGTTGTATCAACACAAGGTCAATTCCAGCCTCGTTTCCACTTGTAACTGTAAAATGGGCTATGTGTAACAGTTTTATGCAGTTTATGCATTCACGATTGATAAGCATGCATTCCTCTATTGCCTCCTCTTCAGTGAATTTGTTATTATTATGATGATGATGACGATGATGATGATGATGATGATGATGATTGCTGTTGTTGTTTCTAGTGTAATCCTGGTTTCAAACTTTCGTAACTTTGATTTGAGTCTAAGTCTAAGTAAGTTTTGCCGGCGAGGCTATCGCGCATTCGTGAATCGTTTGAGGAATATGCTTGCTTAATATTTTATCAGTTTTTTCCCTCGCGAAGCGCCGAGCGAAGTGAGTTTATAATCTCGTCGCGCGCAAAGGGCGCGCGCAGTGTGTGAACCGCGTGTGGGTCCTAGCGAGCTGCAAAGTCGCAGCTCTCATCTTTACTTGTATATATCCGATGGTGTCCGCCATGATGTCATACAGTAGTTCGACATCACGGCGCATTTTTGTTTCTAGGCAACATTGGACTGAAAGCGATTTCGAATTGCCATCAATGACCAAAGTATTCATGAATAGCTGTCTTTTCGTCGTCTGCAAAACAATGTTTACTATCGGTGAATCTCAAGCAATTTTTCATGCAAACAGAACAGCAAACACAAGAACGCCGAATTGTCAATCCTCGCAGGGGAAGATTTGGTTTGATTTTTAGGTACAACAGTTTTGTTATGTTTCTATATATAGCTTACATTTTTTAGATTTACAAATTTTCTTCTCGGCTTTACTTGCCGTTCCCCCGAAGTCCTTCGCGAGGTCCTGCGATTTACGTATTTCTAGTAGCTTTTATGAAAATAACATCGTCGGTCTTCTTCACCTTAGGATGTGATTTACTTTTCACTGGCAATAAAGCTGACGGGGCATTGATTTTTATTCCGTCAACGGGTGTTACTAAGAAAACCATCAACGTCCCTGCCAACAAGACATGCAGCTTTTACTTTGGGGAGAAACTCTACGCACATTACATTGGTTGCGACGGAGCCTGGAGGGAGATCCCACCAAACAGTGTAAATGAGAGTTTAGAGGTCACTCCTGGTTGGAACACAAGTCAGCTGCAACTCGCGGTGGGTATAAAGGGTACTGAATAACACTTCATGCGAACACGCTTTTTGACAGCCTATGCCCTAGGCGTTCACTCTTGCCCAGTTCTCTGCGCAAAGTCTGGTGAAGGCAAGTCTCTCTCGGTGTCCTCACAACTCGCGGTAGAGTCCAGGTTTGACCATGCCAAAAACGCCTAGAGACAAGGTTAGCTTGTTGACATTTCTGTAAATGGTACAGTAGCAACCGCCATTTATGACCTTCTCCACAACATGCATGATCTCGGCTCCAGGTCATTTTTCCTTATTCAACGACTCCTTGTTATATAGCCTGCGAATACAACCGCTCACCTCTCGTCGGTTTCCTGCCGCTCGCGAAACGGCGGTTTCAATCGACATGCAGCCATGAAAGACGGCTGTATTCGCGGACTACTTGTATATATGACAACCCGTCACTACACTCGACAACGGCAAGGGAATTTAGTAATAGACTAGCCCACCTTGTCACGACCTAATTTCCATGTTATAAAAAGATGTCGTATGAAACGATCAAACAAACAAATAAACAATAGACAAACAAATCAAAACAAAGACAGCTTAACATATTTACTGCTCAACCATTAAATCGCATAACAAACAAACAAACAAACTCGAAAGAAAGAAAAAAAAAAACAAACAACAACAAGAAATGCAGCTTAACAGATTTGCAGTATTTTTTAGTTAGCTGCTGATAGTGTATTCCATTTCTTTTTTCCTTTCTAGACAATAGTCAACAGTTCATCTTTCCTTCTCTCGAACCCTGGTCGGATCTTTAGAGTAGCAGTACAGTGTCGCCATTTACATAACAACACAGTCGACAGCACATGCGTTATGTTCAAGGTTGCAGGCAGAATACAGTGTAAGACTTCTAATGGATGTACATATCAAACTGATTGAAAATTTGATGGAAAACAAGCAAACAAACTAGAAAAAAGGTCAAGCGTTGCATGAAATGAGCACTAAATGAAACAATCATTTGCAAATTGGGCTGATTCCACAGAGACTAAAAACGTTACCTGTAGGCATTTAATCTTTTGTTTCACTACTATTCACTATTCACTGAGTGGACCGCGATCTTTAAGATAATCACCATACTCAGCTTACCACTGTGAATAGCTCCTTTTCTTCTGTTGATCCACAACAACAGTACCAAAAAAGATTGCGCTTAACTTGTAAATTGCCAAAACAACTAGATATAAATTTCTAGCGACTAAGCATGGGCACCACACTAATTATGGCTGATTATAAGCTAAACTTACTATCTTTGAAAATGTTTAGGTCCGATCCCTCAACAGCCTCCGTTAAACCAATCCGCAACTCTACCACCTCCAATTGTTGAAATAACCAGCACCACGGCCACACCAACGCGTCCAACAACCACTCAGGCAGAAAACATAACCACAGGCACTCCAGCTGTGGTCACAACTGAGGTTAGTTTGGGTCATAACTGTGTTTTCTTTTTTGCGTTTAGATTTGAACTCTCGAAAATCAAGTGATATTCTCTTACATTTCGGTAGTAGTATAAACAAATAATAGCATGATTTGTAGGTGACATTTGGTATAAATACCAGTCGTGATATTTCAAAATTGTCTGAAAATTCCCTCGCTCAGCTGCTCGTGAAATTACGTACAATAACTTTGAAATATCACGAGTGCTATTTATGCCAAATATCACTACAAATCATGCCATTCATTACCTATTCAAATCATCGTTACAAACTTAAAATTTGTAATTTTGATTTTTAGGCAGAAAACGTAACCACAGGCACACCAGCTGTTTTCACAACTGAGGTTTGTGTGGGTCACAATTGTGTTTTCTTTCTTGCGTTTAGATTTGAAGGCTCGAAAATTAAGTGATATTTCCTTACATTTCGGTAGTAGTATATGCAAATAATAGCATAATTTTTAGGTGATATTCGGCATAAATACCACTCGTGATATTTCAAAATTGTCTCAAATTTCACTTGCCTAACAGCTCGTGAAATTACGTACAACAATTTTAAAATATCGCAATCGTGGTATTTATGCCAAATATCACTACAAATCATGCCATTCGTAATTTTAACCTATTCTAATTATAGTTACAAACTTTTGCAATTTTTTTTTTTTAGGCAGAAAACGTAACCACAGGCACACCAGCTGTTGTCACAACTGAGGTTTGTTTGGGTCATAATTGTGTTTTCTATTTTGCGTTTAGATTTGAAGGATCCAAAATTAAGTGATATTCTCTTGCATTTCGGTAGTAGTATAAACAAAAAATAGCATGATTTGTATGTGACATTTGGCATAAATAGCACTCGTGATATTTCAAAACTGTCTCAAATTTCACTCGCCAAACAGCTCGTGAAATTACGTACAACAATTTTAAAATATGGCAATCGTGGTATTTGTGCCAAATATCACCCCAAATCATGCTATTTCTATTACCTATCTAATTATGTTTACAAACTTTTGTAATTTTGATTTTTAGGCAGAAAACGTAACCACAGGCACACCAGCTGTTGTCACAACTGAGGTTTGTTTGGGTCATAATTGTGTTTTCTATTTTGCATTTAGATTTGAAGGCTCGAAAATTAAGTGATATTCTCTTACATTTCGGCAGAACATAACTACTAATGTTCCTGGAGCAGGAGCTGAAACGACTCAAGAAGTTGGGGTGGGTAATTGCTATTGTCTCGAGTATGATTATAATCCCACCGAAAGGTAGATAAATTGGGTGTCAGTAAACGACGGGGTAGGGCCGGGGTGGGGGTATATCCTTTTTTAAAATAATGCCATTTTTAAGGGTTGGGGTTAGGGTTAGGGTTAGTGCTATTGTCCACCCTAACCCTAGCCCGAACCCTAAAACAGCATTCTTTCCAAGATAGACCCCGACCCCAGCTCCGGCCCCGACTCCAACCCCGCGTTTTACTGACAAAAAACCAGCGCGAATCTCTGACGTCTTTCATCATCGTTTACGGCTTGTTTACAGCCTGCAGCGACCGATTTTGTACCAGTATTTGATCAGATCTCTCTTAGGAACCTTTTTTTTTCATCCAGGAATTTAATTTTGACATAAAATAGGTTAACAATGCTAAAACTATCCGTTTTGTTGCCGGTTGACACATGGTCAAGTTTTCCTAGAGACTTTCTACACCAGAAATTCATACTGTTGTTGGCTTTCTCTGCGATTTGGCATCGTCGGGAAAAGTAAACTGCTTTCCAGCTTTGTACGTTATAACTTTTAAAGCCTATGTCAGTAGCGAATTGTGACGCTCAGTAATAAAAGGTGGAAACCAACGCTTTTTAATATTAAGAAGGGCTAGATAAGTAAATTGTTCTGTGTTTGAGCCTTTCTAAAATCGTTGTTTGCAGATCAATAGCCGGTTTTGTGGCTCGTGGCCTGGTTGCCTTTTTCTTTGGGCCGGGTTGATCGATATAATAAACCATAGGTTTTTGACCAATCAGATCGTGCGTACTGTCTCAGTTACTCTCGGTTAAACGGTATAGTATGTATTTTGTATCTCAACAGGTGACCACTTCTCCGTTTGAAAGTAGTACCCAGCCTGATCTTGGGGTAAGACATGGGCTTATAATTAGCAGCAATGCTACTTTAGTCTATCTGTCAGCTGTGTTATAAAAACAAACAAACAGACAAACAAACAAAACAACACAAAACAAAAACACAAAGAAACTGTTCACGAGTAACGGTGTTACTCAATAACCATCAGAAAGAGTGAAAGGAGAGATTTGAACATGTTTAATCTTTTCAGTTTTCTTTCATAGAAACGAATTTTAAAACTACATACTTGTTAATTAGTGCCAACTGAATTGATTGATTCATTTTTGCACAATATTTGCAGTATATCGTATCGTATTGGTAAGGCTTTTTTTCTGTTAGAGCTAATTCAAAGAATTATTTTAAATCTCCTGAAAAATAACCACAACTGCGGTAGTAGGTGTTAAAAAACCAGGGCAGGCCAGAAAAAGAGACAATAATTCTATCTATTGACCACTCCAGCAATACCATAACATACCATAATGCTCTTTGTTTGTCACCCCCAAATTTTGTATAAACATTGTCTTCCTTTTCTCTTGGGAATTAAAATGGCCCCAAGAGAAACTTAAACAATTCTTATGCAAAATTTTGGGTTGAAAAACAAAGAGATTCTGGTATGTTATGGCATTTTCTGGAGTGGCCAATTGTGATAAACAGTACTGTAGATCAGAAATTAACGTAAATTTCTTGATTTTTCAGATTAAAAGCCTTAGAGTACGAAATTCTTCTAGCATAATCATGCAATTTAAATCTAGATCCCTCTTACACACACCCCGCCAGCTTTGCCTTACCCGATTGAAAGGCTTTGCATGAATCAATTGACATCATTATTAAGCATGAGCTGCTTGTTGCTAAGATACAGTTTCAAAGTAACAGCCGTGCATCTGATACAGAGCAGGGTTCAGTTCCTACTCGCTCAAGAACGCAAATACAGGCCTTGCTCGCATGGTGTCCTCCACACCTAATTTAAAATAGAAAATGCATGCCTTTCGAGGAACAGATAGATCTTTAGTTTCCCGGTGGGGATACTCCTGGGGGGGGGGGTACTCCTAGTAATTCTTGGTGGGGGTGTGCTGCCCGGTTCTCTAAATCCTAACCCCATTTCAGACCAAAAAATGAAACTTTCTACACCCGTTTTCCGACCATACCCGTTACCGTCAGGCAGATATTATGTTATTTAAGCAATAGAAAACGTTTTCCGTGTTTGCATAGCCTGATATAAACACGAGAGGGGTTGGGAGAATTCGAGACAGTTATGCAAACCCGAGACGAAGTCGAGGGTTTGCACAACCGTCGAGAATTCTCCCAACGCCTCGGGTGTTTATATCAGGCTATGCAAACACAGGAAAAAAGTTTTCTATCGCTTTTATAAAATAACTTTCCCGAGAAAAAAACGGAAAACTCTTTGTATGGCACTGAGAAAAGAGAAATTCTTACCAGTCGCAAAATCTTGTCCACGAAGTCTTGTACGCGTAATCAGTTCTTGTTTTGCAAAAAGATGCTTTGCAAAATACGGATTTTTCTCGCTTAAAATGTCAGCTTAAGCGAAGAAAAATTGACTCACCTTCTTTGTAACGATTTTCCATGTTTCAGCCGACGAAGGAATTGGTAAATAAAGTAAACTTGTCGAGTTTTGAACTCGAAAACTTTTTCAAATTCGTGCTTACGTGATTAGCGCGCGAAAAGCCAAGCAACTTGACGCCACAACCATGTTTACATACTCTCATGCAAACACTCCTCTCGGCCAATCAGAGCGCGCGTACTATCTTAGTTATTTTATCAATTTACTTAGATTAGCGCGCAAACAGAAAAATTCTTCGAAGCCATTTCGAATTCGCACATTTCTCTTTCTTTCTTGCTCATTTGGAATCGAAATGATAAATACGTTCATACACTGCCGTAGTTCCCTCAAAAACCATACCCGTTTTCACACCAAAACGGTGCAAAAATCCTACCCGATGTAGCGGCACATAACTATATGGCTTATATAAGGGCGTACCCCCGGATTTAATTTCAACTTTTAATGTCTGCTTTGGTCGTTTTTGGTCTGTATGGACCCATGCATATTATCTTGTCTTGAGCCATTTAGCTTTCCGTTTAAGCTATTAAGATGGTAATTGGCAATCTCAGAATGAATAGATCTTAATTTCCAACGGTACCTCATTTAGCAAATTTTGACCAATCCTGTCCAAATTTTGACTTATGCGCTTGCGCCAAAAACAAAAAAGCTGCTTAATTACGCCCAATTAACAGAAACTTATTTCCTTAGTGTTAGTAATCTCTTTCTAGCCATTTCCATACCAACTGGCCAAAAACGGTTCAAAAAGGAAGATTTGGTCCAAATGCCATTTTTCCGCTAATAAATTACTGACGGCAAAGGGTTAATACATTAGTTGTCTTTTCTTTTTTTCTAGGGCCCAACAGGACAGTCTTCAGATAACGAAAAGCGAACAGGCCAAAAAAAGAACACTTACATTATAGCGGGGGCTGTGGCAGGCAGTATTTTACTGATCGCTTTGATTCTTCTTATTGCATGGCGCTGCAGTACTACTAGGTTAGAAAAAAATCATTTGTTCTTTGCTACGGTAAATACTTTTATGTATTAAAAAAAAACGGTGATTAATTGAAGGGGCTGTGTCACGGCAGTCAAGTTCATTTTGTTTAATTTTGCTAATTACTCGCCCTCAATCGCTATGGAACTTAAAGTAAGCTAAGAAATTACATGGAAATGGCAAAATCAGAGATCCGAGACAAACAAATATGTCTCCTGAGCATTATTTTTGAAGTTGTCAGCAGCAGGGATCAACTTTGAAAAACTGTTAGGCTGAACAGCTTTCAAAAACCCTAATTTCAATCCGTTTCAATCTTCTTCCGTTTTGCCCATCCGTGGCATCTGTC